GGCCTTGAGGTCGAGGAGAGTGGTGAGGCATCTACCCTTGGCTTTAGCTCCCAGAGAAGCCCCAAGACGACGTCGAAACTGCTGTCGAAAACACCCAAACGCGCCATAGATCTGGTGGCCGTAAGAGCCTGCAGCCTGGGCCCCAGCCTTCTCTAGGCGCCCAGTGATAAGATATTGCCTTGAAGCTTGAGCGAAACGTCGAATCTTGGCGTTCATACCTGTAGCTTTGGTCTGACGTTTATACCGAACATGTCGCGCGGGCCGACCTTTGCCAAGGTCCACGCCAAGGTACGGGGCCTGTCGCACTGCAGATACACTGATGCCTACTCGCTGAAGTTGCCGTGAAACAGCCCGTCCGTCGGCGGGCTTGGAGCACATCAGCACACTCTTGGGCGACCCCTTTGAGACCTACCCCGCCGAGCTTGTTGCATGTGTCTCGAAGAACGTGAAACAACTTAGCCCGAACAACACGTCGAGACCCAAGGACTCGCTGGGATAAGTCATCAATCCAGATACGCATCGACATTCCAACGTGGGCAACCGAGATCTGCTGCAGAATGTAATACACTATGCAACGAGCAAAGCGGGTGCCTCCTCGCAAACCTTGCACAATACTCTGTGAAGGTTGGAAAGCAAGAGAGAAACTACCTTCTTGGCCAAGGGTCCTGGGGCAGATACAATTCTGCAATTCAAGGGCCAAAACCGTCGGGGGGAAGTTCAACCTCAACGCGGTGCGAACCAAAACCGCCCATCCGATAGAATCGTAAAATCCTTCCACATCAAGGAGCCCGTGGCCGTTATCTGTGCCGAGCTTGAAATATGCTTCGTCGTGAAGCGCTCGGAGGAATGCTTCGCGGAGTGCGGAGTTGCCTCGGACGGCCGCGTCCCACGCAGGCTCCGCCGACGAAGACCAGGAGCGAACATCCTCTTCCCGAGCTAATGACCACACTCTAGTGAGCATGGTCAGAAGCCCGATCACCCTGTCCCCTCCTGACTTCTTCGGCAGAAGCCGACCTAGAACCATCAGCACTTGCCAAGGCCACGTCATCTGGGCCTCGCAGGCCTCGAAAAGGGACGCGAGCTGCTCTATCCCCTCGTCGGGGAGACGCTGGATATCCACTGGTGACATCTGATCGATACCTTGACCAGCTCGAGCCTTCATGAGCGTCGTAGCTCGGAGGACTCGCTCTGGTGTTAAAGGCAGCAGCTGTTCATCATCACGAGCAGCCTGGATCTCAGCACAAAGGGCGGAGACCTCGCAGAGATTCACTTCAGACGGGCTCCAAAGCTTATGCCATTTCTGAACTTTGAGATCAACGAGGTCCCGAGGGTGAAAAATAACCCCCCCCTCCGAGGACAGCTCAAACGGAGGGGAGGGGGGGGGGGGGTCCAGAGGGATTTGTGAAGGACCCCCACAGCGGGAGCCGTAAGGACCCAGGACCGAAACTCTTCCAGGGATGATTGGAGCTCCCTCCGCCTGGCACGACCTGCAACTCGCTTAGCAACTGCTGCAAGGTGAGAAATCTTATCCACTGGCACCTTGTCGATGCTCATGAGATAAGTCTGCCAGAGAGTCCATGCTCCGTCCGTGGGGTCGAGTCTCGCAAGGGGAAGATGCACGCTGTCGGGAATGTCCTGTGCGAGATCCTTGCATGCACGCTCTAGTCGTGAACGCTGGAGCTGACCGTTGGACTTGGACAGGTGGTGATGAAGATTATGCAATACTGTGTGCACACGACCCCACCAACACGCAACCATACCATGCAGTGGCTCCTGACGAACTTTGTCCAGAACATGCACCTGAGCCTCCTGGAAGATAGGTCCCTGGCCCCTGGTACGGCCCTCGGGAGAGATTCCATGATGATCCTGAATAGCTGATTCGACCGTGGAAACCCACTGCTCGTAAAGTGCACTAACACCCAGAATACGGTCACCACCTGCTGCAAAAGCCGCTGAGTCTCGAATGACTGGCCAGACACTAGCAGAATCACGAACAGGGATGTAGCCGACCTCCTGTCTGGCAGCTGCCCACGCGTCGGAGCCGATGCGGAAGCCAGGAGGAGGGGGAAGGTCAGGGGGAGAGGCTGAAACCCTGGGGTTGCTATCCTCCTGATCGTCAGCACTTACGGGGGCTGGGGCTACTTGATTATCATTCACGGACAAATCATCAGCAGCTTCGCCAATAGCGGGGAAGAGATCATCATCGTCGCACGGGGCGCGAGCCCCAGGGGGAGGACCAAGGAGGGAGGACAGAGACAGGGGAGCGCCAATACTCTCCTCGTCGCCGTCGCCGCTATCAGCTCCACCTGCGGCAGGCGCGCGAGAGCGCGCGGACTGACTGGCCTGCAAGCCCTGCTCATGCAGGTCCCCATACAGCTCATCGTACTGCTCATCAGCGAAAGTCCTCGCTGTAAGGCGCCGCTCGTTGGCAGCCGCCTTGCTCTTGCTAGACTTGGACCCTGGAACGGGCAACGCTTTCGGCCGCGGGACCTGAGGGAGTTTCCGCGCCACCTTGAGCTCTCGACAAAGCAGCTGCTGGGCGGCGGAACGCAACCGAACCACCAGCCCGCAATGGGGCCTCCAGGGAACGTCGAGGCAGCCTTCGACTGAAATGATGTATGGAATGCTGGAAGCGCTGGCGACTATATAATCGATATGGGTGCCGCCGCCAAGCGCACACGTGTACGCGAGAGGTGCCTGAAAGACGACACCGCCTACTCGCTCCAAGAATCCAGCCCGTTGCAGAGCGGCTGCGGGCAAATTAAAATCACCAGCAACAATCCACGGGAGCCGACACTGGAGGAGCAGGGCTCCTAGGCGCGTGAATCTTTGCAAGTTCCTGCCTGAGAAGCCTTCCTCGCACAAGCCGTAAAACGTAACTAAGATGAACGAAAAACCCTTCTGGTGGCAAACTACTGCAGTAAAGCCGTCCAAGGCACAGGAGCCGTCAGCTGCGAGGTCGCTCCAGACTGCCTGGGAGGAAGCAAGGGAAATGCACCTGGAGATGCTTGCGAGCTAAAATCCATTCCCCACCTTCATTCGCACGAGCCTGGCCACTCTGAGTGGCGGCCCTGCCCGTGCCCCTGGCGGGGTTCGAGAAAAGCTTAAGATGTGCCTTGCTGGCCGAATCCAACCAAGGCTCTAGAGCGTCTGCCGACTCGATATGCGTCTCACAGACTGCAAGATAACTAAAAGACTTCAGCCGCTCACCTGTGAGAAAGCCCCACGCCTTCTTGCCCATGGCTGTGACATTGGCAAAAAACAAACGCGTCTCAGATGGTGAAGCTGAAGTCGTCCCCGATGGAGGGGGCGAGCACGGCACAGTCTCCTGTGACTGCGACTGGGTGCTGGCCCCCTCGAGCCGCGGTCACGCAGGTGCCGTGGCGGGCATGCCTTTGCCCGCGCCCTTGGCCGCTGCCGCCGCCGCCGCTGCCTCTGCTGCTGCCTTCTTGGCCTCGCTGATCTTCTGGGCTGTTGCCTTCAACTCCGCCTCGCTGACCGCGTTGGCCTCGGCGGCGCCGGTGGGCTCGGCTGCGGCGGGCGCGGCGGGCGCGGCGGGCGCCGTAGGCGCGGTGCCCGCCTGGGCGCCTCCGCCATTGCCGCCGCTGCCGCCAGCCTCTCCTCCGTCGCCGCCGCCTGGGTGTACCTGCCCATCACCTCGCCTCTTCTTGGCCATGCGGTTCTCGATCGCCTGCTGCACAGCCTTGAGCTCTGAGAGCCACTTCTTGACCTCGTCGGACTTCGTCGTGAGATCCGTCTTCGTCGCAGCCAGGTCCTTCTTCAGCTTCGCGAGGGTCTCCTTCTCGTGAGCCTCGCACTCGAGCGAGTCGACTGCGTCGAAGAAGGCCTCATCCCACGACACAGTGAAGAGAGGGCCCTCCTCAGAGCCTGGGGCGCCAGCAGCCGCCGACTCGTCTAGCAAGCCGTCCTGCTTCGCCAGCACCTTCACCGCGATCCTCTTGGCCTGCTCGGCCCTGGCCAGGGTGAGCGCCGCCTCCTGCTCCCGCTCCTTGGCGCGCACGAGGACGCTCTCCGCCTTGATCAGGGCCGCCACCGCCTGGTCGTGCTTCACCCCCGCGTCACGAACTGCGGCTGAAGCCTTCTGCAATGACACCTCGGGGCTGACCTTGGAGGCCTCCTCGACCGCGGCCTGCTGGTGCTTGCTCACCTGCAGCTCGAGCAACTTGCGCATCCCTGGGTCGGTGGCGACGAGCAGCGCCTGCTTGTACGCCTCGAGCTCCGTGGACGGCGTTGCCCAGGCTGACGTCGTTGGCGAGCCGCCTCCGCCTGCACCAGGCCGAAGCGCAAGCTGGTTGTCACTGTCCCCCTTCTTCGGACTGGGGCGAAACAACTCGACCTGCTTGCCGCACTTGCACCAGCCTCCATGCTGCTGGATGACTACGTTCCATTCGCACTTACCACAATTCTTACACTTGGTCCAGAGAGAGGGATCATGGGAACTGGTGGCTACTGAAGCCGACGTCTTCTTCTTGCCCATCGCCCTCTTTGCCAACCTGACCTTGCGGCCACAAGATCGCAAGACAGGAGGAGAGGAGAAGAAGAAGAAGAAGAAGAAGAAAAAGGGGGGGAGGAGGGAGGAGAAGGGGGAGAAGGAGGAGGAGGAGGAGAAGTAGGAGGAGGTGGAGGAGGAGGAGGAGGAGGAGAAGGGGAGGAGGAGGAGGAGGCAGAAGAGGAGGTAAAGGAGAAGAGGGAGACGGAGGAGGAGGAGGAGGAGGAGGAGGAGGAAGAGGAGGAGGGCCGGCCAGCAGCGGGCCAGGAGGCCCGCAGCGATGGCTCGGCTGCAGCCCTGCTCTCGGCACCGCATCCAAGTCTGGTCTATGCCTGCGCAGCTCATCACATCTGCACAGGCGGGCGCTGCATCGAGCAACGGCAATCCACTATCCTCAGCTCCTGTCGCGCAGGCAGGGCGATGACGACAGCATCACCAGCAATCGCTCTCAGCGCAAACGACGGCACGAGATGCAAAATCTCTACCCGTGTCAGCCTCCACCCCGCTCCACAGCAGAATCTGCACGAAACCCGTCATATTCCGCATGGCGTGGTGGGCACCATCCGCGACCCATGAAATTCTCCCTGCCCGGTGGATATTCTTTGAAAACTCCATAATCCCGATCATGTGTCCAAGACAAACATTTTTTATCTGGCGGACCAGACTCCTTCACACTCACAGCCTTCGACGATGGTGAGCTTCTCCACGCGACACTGTGATTCCACACAATAAGATTTAATCGCTCGCCTGTGCTGATATCATCCGCTCCGTGACGCTTACGCCCGAGATGCATTATGCACTTTCCAATCTGATGCTGGTAAATGTGCGAGACTTGCCTGTGATCCGCGGCGCCGTTCATGCCACAAAAAACAAGCCCGCAACCAGTAAATTCTCGACCAAGGCAGATGTTGAATGTGACGTCGCTATCATCGATGTGCATATCCAGGCCCTTGTCCTCTTCAGCGCGGTAGCGGACGATGAACGTGTGGTGCGAATCGAAGCACGCAGCCTCCTCGGGGAAGAAAACGCTCGCAATCGGCTGGAGAACCTCCTGCTGCAATATTTCCACCATGGGCTCCCAACCTATGTCATTTAGGACTACGCCGTAATTGTTCATGCTGTTTGGCCTTCTAGCGGGCAAACCACTGGCATAAAAGTTGTCGAGCTCATTCAGGAAGAGCTCACAAAACGATTTGGAGAAGAAATCGAAGGAGTACACTCCTGGGGAAACTTCGGTCACCAAGTCTTTGATTGCCCTCTCGGCCTCTGAGGTACCCTTTGCCTGGCAAGCAGAGACCAATGCAGGGTGCAACCAGCCAGGCTGCCAACCAACTTTAGCGTCGTAAACTTCTGGGTGTTTCATCATCTTCCCGTATTGACGGATCACGGTCCGCCGTTCGTCATTCTGCTTCAGGGCAGCCTCCCAACTGCTGGCTTCAACCCCCGGCAATGGTCGCTTCAGCATGTCGTACAGCACGCCGACGGACATGGCCAGCGCCGACGCCTGGGACGCCTTCTCTTTGGATTCCCTGAGCCGACGCAAGACCTCAGAGTCAGATGGCAAAACAATCACATGAGCCCGGCGCGACCCCAATTAGGGGAACGCGTCCTGAGCGGCATTGGTTGGCGATGCTTGGCGATGCATGGCATTGCTTCATATGCTTGGGATTGCGCGTCTTGGTTTTATATTGTTTGGCAGTGCTTTGCATTGCGTGGCGTTGCTTGGCGTTGCTTGGCGTTGCTTGGCATTGCTTGGTAATGCTTGGGATTGCACGGCTTGGTTTTATATTGTTTGGCAGTGCTTTGCATTGCGTGGCGTTGCTTGGCGTTACTCGGCATTGCTTGGCAGTGCTTGGCATTGCTTAACAGTGCTTGGCATTGCAATGCTTTGATTGGCGTTGATTGGCGTTGCTTGGCGCTGCTTAGCGTTGCTTGGCGTTGCCTGGCGGTGCTTGCGTTGCATTGCCTTGCTTGGCAATGCGTGACGGTGCTGAGCGTTGCTTGCCATTGCTCGGCATTGCTTGGTACTGCTTGGCATGTTTCAGCATTTCTCAGCATTGCTTGGAATTGCTTAGGTTGCTTAGCGTTGCTTGGCGTTGATTGGCGCTGCTTAGCTTTGAGTGGCGCTGCTCGAAATTATGTGGCGTTGCGTGGCATTGCTTGGCATTGCTTAGCGTTCATTCGCGTTGCTGACACTGCTTGGCAGTGCTTTGCATTGCTTAGCGTTGCCTGGCATTGCTTGCCATTGCATGGCAATGATGTCAATGCTTTGCATTGCGTTGCATTCCTTTACGTTGCTTCGCACTGCTTTGCATCGCGTTGCTTGGCATTGCTTTGCATTGCATTGCTTGGCACCCAGACGACCCAACAACCAGGACAACTGGGCAAACGGGCAACCTGGCAAGCCAGCAACCCGGGCAACCTTGGCAATCGGGTAACCAGGCAACCTGGGCCACCAGGCAACCGGGCAACCTTGCAACTGAGCAACGGGACGGGGCAACCCGTGGAAGGCTGGGCAACCCGAGGAAGGCCGAGCACCCACCACTTCGTCACAAACAAATGAGAACCATTTGGCAAAGCCGAATTTGGGAACAAAACACGAAAGCGAACAACAAGAGAAGTATACGTTTACAATGTTCCCTGCGACCTCCTTGTAGAAATGGTGCCCAACACGACGGTGGTGCTGATCCTCTCCGTCATGGACGACCGGGTGGTGGATCAGCGACCGAAATCTGACCCTCGGCAGGTAATCCTCACAGAACTTCGGAAGGTACGGCAAACAGAGGCACTACTATGTGCTAGGGATATTCAATGTCCCTCCGCCTTCAGCATAGACATACATATCTAAACATCTATATATACATGTATAGATACAAGTGCACATAACGCAGCGTTGTAGTTTTATGTAAACACATAGATATACATCTGTATGTATATATACACACCTAAATTTGTATATATATATATATATATTCATATAGAAGCGATGTACATGCATCCATGCGTTGAATACATCTAGATAGACATACATGTACACATGTATTCTACAAGATGTGCATGTCTTCAACCCTGACGTCCGGATAATCAGCCGGGATGCACAACCGCACGCTCATCTCCTGGTCGTACGCGCTGTCGGGGGGGCCCCGAATCCGAGCGTCGATGATCCACGGGCCATCCCTCCCGTCGTCCGGAGGTGGGAGCACACCGCCGTCAACGCCATTCACGCAGGGCGCTGGCACGGGCAACGACAAGAAGGTCAAAAAGGCGGGAGGGTCTTGACTGAGCGCTGAAGCTTCAGCTTTCAGCCTGACCAATGTCAGAGGAACAAAGGAAACACAAACATAAACTCTCGGAGGTCCTCGCGAATTTCTTGGATCGGCGCTGGACCCCCCTCCCTGGCGCGCAGAGCGCGCCAGAGGCGGCGCCAGAGGCGCCGCCAGGAGCCTTCATCGCCGATGAGAGAACTCCGCGCGGACCTCTTAAAGTTGATAATTATGTTATTTCTTCGTCCCCCAGAATGTCGGGTGCTCGTCTGCCTCTGCAGCATCGTGTTCATTTGCCACCCGCATCTTCTTTGCGGCTGGCCCTGGAGCCTCGTAGAACAAGTCCGTCGCCGCAAGAGTTCTTCCTCCATTGTCGCGGTCATCTGATGCGAAGCCCGCGAGGCTGGAGAAGCGCGCAGCGAAAGAGCTGGCCTTCCGCGTCTTCTCCGGGTCCTTCGCCTTCCGTGCGTGCAGAAGCAACTGCAGCTCCTGCCGCACCGCAGGGTTTTTGGGCTCGAGCTCGCTGGCGGTCTTCAGATCGACCATCGCGTCGTCGAAACGACCAATCTGTCGCAGCGCGGAGCCCCGCCGGAAGAGGGCCTTCTGATTTTTCGGGTCTAGTTGCAACGCCTGCGAGGCGAAGTCGACGCATGCATCCAAGGAGCCCAGCTTCAAGTGGCACGCTGCCACGTTCAACATGACTGAACATTGCTGGGACTGTATTTCAGCATCTGCAATATTGGCGGGCTGATCTGGCACAGTGAGCTTGCCGAGGGCGTCTATGTACATTACAAGTGCTGCTGTAGGCTCGCCCTTGCGAAATGCCGCATTTCCCTTGTTCTTGAGCTCAAGACCTTGCTCCCAAAGATCTTCGGGAGCTGCGGCAGACATCAACCCGGTCGTCACTACGGAAGCATGCTGGGCTACATGGAGAGCCCGAACCGGCCTGAGCTGAAACATAGCTACGGACACACACAAACATAGAAACAAACACACACACACACACACACACACACGCACACGCACACGCACACACACACACACACACACACACGCGCACACACACGCACACGCACACGCACACACACGTTCCCACAGACGCGACAGTGGGTTGCAACAGGACGCTGCGTCGGGCTAAGTATCCACCACTGTGGATGTGCACACAAAAGCAAAAACAGATGGGCGTGTATAGATGTGAAACTGGTACTTTAGCACGCATAAAAGATTAGATGCGCACATATTCGTGAGCCCATGCTCATACTTATGCAAAATAATATACAAACATACAAATGCCTACTCAGACCTACATCTGCGTATGCGTGTGCGCATGCACATGAACGCACTGTTCTTCTTTGCCCTCCAATGCCGATTGGGGAAGGCAATCGCGGGTGAAACAAGCGGGATGCGCAAACAAACACGTGCCATGAGGTTGACCCGACAGCGGTACGCGCACGCACACATACACACAGACACACGCGAGTAATGAAAGCGTGTGGTAATGGCGCTGTGGTCATGCATCCTGACACGGGCAAAAGGAGGGATCGGAACGTTGGGAACACATCGCACATCGCTGTCCTATCCCTCAGATCTGAGGCGAGCCTATTTAGTCCAACATTCAGGTGTCGCAGCTAATCCGAGAAGCGCCCCCCCCAAAAAAGACTCGCCTCGAAATAAAGTGTAGACAAGCGGCGGTGTCAACCACTCGCATGAGGTGAACTCTCTGGATGCACAACCAACATGTCAACTAAGCCCAAGGCAAACAAACGAACTACACCGAAACCCATGCAATCATGCGCAGACGTGTCAACAGGGCCAGGGGAGGCGAGTGGCTGACATCCCAGGGCACGGACAATTGGTACAAAGGCGAGCCGCTCCAAGTACCGTTGCGTGCAGTGGTACACATACTTACTTGATAGACCACGCTTCGGGTGATAAGGAGGTTGGCGCCTTGCGCTTGCCGTCCGAGGAGGCTCGCGATGCATGTATGTATGTATGTATGTATGTATGTATGTGTACGCTTATATGTACCGGCATATAGATCTGCATACATACACATATCACTATATATATACACCTATACGACCACCCTTCGAGTGATCAGGAGGTTGTGGGGGGGGAGAAGGAGGCGAACCAACATCTGACTCAATCGATCTCACTACCGATCTCACTCAACAAGACACCACGGGACACCACGGGACACCACGGGACATAACGGGACACTTGTCGATCTCACTATCGATCTCACTCAACGGGACACCACGGGACACCACGGGCCACCACGGGACACCACGGGACACCACGGGACACTTGTCGATCTCACTATCGATCTCACGATCGATCTCACGATCGATCTCACTCAACGGGACACCTAAAACACGATCGATCTCACTCAACGGGCGTCCCGGCGCTAACGCATATGCGTTAGCGCCGGGACGCCCGGGACACCCGGGACACCCGGGACAACGCCCGGCCCAACTGGAACACCTCCCGGCCACTGGCGGACGGGAAACAGACTTTCGCTCCTACTGACACCCGGGACACCCGGGACACCGCCCGGCCCAACTGGGACACCTCCCAGCCACTGGGACACGAAACCAAAACCGATTTCCCAATGGGGGGTCTCCGTTTCACTGCGATCTCACTCCCCAACCTCCGATAGGTCTGCGGCGGCACAGCATACAGCACGGCATGACCATGCAGCGCGGCACAGGGCCCCGGGAACGATTCAAGAGTTCCCAAGGGAGCCTGAACCAAGGAAATTAAAGATTCCTTCGTTCATTTGCAAGGACGGGGCACTTATACGACCACCCTTCGGGTGATAAGGAGGTGAGGGCGGGGGGCCAACGTCGCACTCGATCCATCTCACTATCGATCTCAACATGGATCTCACTCGATCGATCTCACTCGATCAATCTCACAATCGATCTCACAATCGATCTCACTATCGATCTCACTATCGATCTCACTATCGATCTCACGATTGATCTCACTATCGATCTCACGACGGGACACCGACGGGACACCGCAGGACACCGACGGGACACCGACGGGACACCGAGAAGACACCGGCGGAACACCGGCGGGACACCGCGCGGCCCCGAACGCCGAGTCGCCAAACATTTGGCCCGGCCGCGCCTCAGCCATAGAAGACTTTCCCCTCGCCCGCCCACGCAGCTTCGCCTCGCCCGCACGCACGGCACGCACGAACACGAAACCGAAATCGATTTCGGGTAGGGGGCTCTCCGTTCCACTTCGATCTCACCCCCCAACCTCCGATATATATATATATATATATACATACACGGATGTATACACTGTGTACCTGCCGCGGCCTCACTGTTTACCGGTCTCACGACCTCACTGCCGATATGACTACATGTACATAGAGATCTCTTTAAAAAACATATACAAATATGAACGGCCGATTCCAAAAACCCTGAACCAAAACAATTGGCAACCCTTGGGGTTCGCGATGTCTACTTCCGCCGACTTCCGCCGGTCTTCCGCCAGCTTCCACCGGCGGATCGTTTCACTTCCGCAGGCTCGCACCACTCTTCCGCCGCCTTCCGCCGAAGGAACGTATGATAATCCCTTCAACGCTCGAAGGCGAGGTCCTTTCTGGAACGCGACGTAAATAAATAGAAGTCTAGATATAAAGATCTGTATATCTGTGTATATATATATATATAAATCAATGTCGACCTCCTTGTCAACCTAGTGATCCCACGACCTTTCTATCGACTTAACTATCCGTCGACCGGTCTACTTGTCTACCAGTCTCACTATCTTGCAGTTGATCCCAATACCAATACATACATCGACTCCTGTATTACTCATCCCATTGGATATACACATATGTATAGATGCGTTGTCCGGGGGAGTTCTTCTCCTCGCAGCCTTTCTACGGTTTTGATACAGATGCGCACGAATTGCCACTGAATCGCATGTAATTTGAGGTTCGGCGCACATTTTGACTTCCAGGGCGATGTGCGTATACGGTTGCAGGTCGACTGAATTTTCGATGCCACGCAGGTGTGCTTTACAATACGCATCTCGATGTGTACGTCGATGTGTGTTTCGATGGGCATGCCAATGTGCATTGTGTGTCGATGTGTGTTTAGATGTGTGTGTGTGTCGATGTGTGTTTCCATGTGTGTTTCGAAATGAGAATCGACCACATGGCGACTTTCATGTTGTATTGTTTTTCGGTGCGCGTGCCGCCTTACACGTCGAGTCGCATTCCGACTGTGATTGGGACTGCATCTCGATGTTCATGTCGATTGCGAGACGACTCGCATGCCCATGTTGGTAGTGAAACGTTCTTCATAGTTGATTGAGAAGGAAGGACGGATGAACCGCTCTGGAGGTTGGGCTCGACCGTGGCCTGGAACTTCCTCTGCTTCTTATTACTCGCCTTCTCCCTTCTACAGCCCCAGTCTCCTCCTCCTCTTCCTCCTCCTCCTCTTCCTCTTCCGCCTCCTCCTCCTCCTCCTCCTTTTCCTCCTCCTCCTCCTCCTCCTCCTCCTCCTCCTCCTCCTCCTCCTCCCCCTCCCCCCTCCTACTCCTCCTTAGCGCCCTCCCCCTCCACCCCCATCCACTTCCAACCCCTCAACCCTCACCCATGTCCTCCTCCTACTACGCACTCCTTGTGCTGTCTTTCCTCATCCTCCTCTTTCTGCTCCTCTTTCTCTTTATTCCCATGTCCTCCTACTATCCTCCTCCTCTTCCTCCTCCTCCTCCTCGTCGTTCGCCTCCCGAGGCCTTACGAAATCTCCAGAACGCACCGAAGGCCTCTGGAGGCCTCCGGCCCAAACAGGGCCGAAACGTCCAAACGCCTCGGTCCTCCACCATCCACCTGCAGCTGCACCTGCTTCTGCTCATCCTCTTCCTTCTCCTCCACCTCCTCCTCTTCCACCCTCACCATTGTCCGTCACCTCCCACCCTCCTCGAGGGAACCAAAGACGGACAGAAGGGTTCGGTCGCCGATGCTGCCCTCGCCACCACATGGACAATGGTCCTGAGGCGGGCGGCGCTAAAAGGCCACTCACGCCACCGCGTGGCCCGTGAGGCTAGAGGCGGGTGGCGCTTCAACAAAAGGCAAGGCGACGACCCTGCCGAGGAGCTCTCGCCCGCTCGCAGGATGTCGGCAGTGCATGAAGGAAGTGCTACTCCTTATTCAATGACTATCTGGTGGGTGGGCGGGCAAGGCTTGCCAACGCACGCGCGCCATGGGCCCCAGGAGCAGGCTGCCCAGGGCGGGCACCGTTCACCTTGGCCGAAACCGTAGCCCCCCCGAGCCCACAACGAGCGCACACCACGACCCAACTCTTGCTGACCAAGTGGAGTGAGCGAGCGTCACGCTGCAAGCCGCCAGCGAGCGCCGCGCGCACGTCGGCCATGTATCAGCACGGGCCAGCACCCGAGAAGTGCGCGCGGGAGGTGGAGGCCGCGCGTGCAGCGCAGTGGCGTGGGGGTTCGACGAACTCCGCTTCTTGCTGCTGGCATGGAGACAGTCACGATCAGCCACCAACGGTCCTGCGCGGGCGACGCACATCGCCCACTTTCACTTTGGCGCCGAAATAGATGTCGCACGCCTGGCTTCGCGCAGCGGGGAAAGGATACGAGCACGCTGGGCCATCCGTTGGGCCCAATCGCCGGCAAGACCACTGCCTACCTTCTCGAAGCGAATGAGGAGGCCGGCCTGCAAGCGCGGTTGAGTGCAATGTCCCCAGTCCGACACCCGCTCCCACACCAGGACAGATCTCAGCCCAAGCACCGTTGGCAGCACAGCATGCGTCACGACCGCGCACAGACAGGCCATCAACAACATACGCAGAGCCACTATGCAATATAGTGTCTGGGGTGGCCTGCTGTAAGGCACGCAGCAAGGC